TGCCATCTGCATTAGCGTTTCTTTCATTCAATCTCATTGATGGAGAAAGAGAGGAAGAACTAAAAAAGACACAGGAAAAAGGGATCAAAGTAAAGAGAGAAAGTTTCAGAACTCCACGTTGTGATGTAATTGACTTCCTTAGATGGCAAAGGGAATGTTGACAAAGTCGATGTCCTAAATTTCATGAAAATGGGCCCACACAAATACTCGTTCATTGTTATCGATACGTATTTTTAATTGTGTGAAAATTTAAGGATTTGAATTGACCATCGTTAATTACTTTATTTAGTAATTTAAAATTGATTATTATTTATAGTAACGCAGTTACTTTTACAATTAAATTTAAAATTTAATGATTTATTCAATTTATCGATTAAGAATTTTAATCTAATTTTAATGAAATAACCTACTTTTTTATATTTAATTGTCAAACAAAAGTTTTTACATGAAGTTATTTTTCAATATTATTATTTCTCTTTCTACTTTTGCATTTACAACTTATTATTTTAATTAGTTAAGAAGGAAAAATATTGAAAGTAAAAACATAATTATTACTAAATTATTAGACATAAGAAGCTACCGAAATATTATAAAAAATATTTAAACATATAGTATTTTTTTTCTATAAGAAAACGGGATGAAGCCCAAGGAAAAAGAAAATTATATCACATATATTCGATAAGTAGAGAATTCCATAGCATTAGAAATAAGAACTTAACTAAGACTTTTAAAAAGATATATATATAATAAAGGACAACATCAATATGTGCTCACATCCCACTTTTGCTAGTGTCACTACATTTATTTATTTTTCCTAAATATATGTTTAATGTATACTATCCACTACCGACTCAAGAGCTCCCTGATAGCTTTTATCAATTTCCTTCCCATTCTGCTTCCTTCTGAAATTCATGTAATTCCTTGTACAGCAGTTGTAAAATTCATCTAAAGCTCCACTTGCCTAAATCACAACCCCCAAACCAACCTTAATCCTTCAAAAGCATTCTACCATTCAGCAATACTCCCTTTTAAAAATTAATATTCACAAATTATCTATAAAAATTGAGTATTTAATAAGGCAAAACAATTTTCGTAAACTACATGAAAGTGTAATTTTTTCTGTGAATAATATTTATCTTAATTTCTTTAGAACAATTTGTTCTTCAACTTTTGATTGATTGGAAAGTTATTTGTTTAACTTGTGAGCTGTATGTCACTCCAACAAGGGAAAAAGTTAGATTAGAGTGACCATGCACTTCATCGAAAATATTTTATTTAGAATTAAAAATGTAAAACTAATAAAAATAAAAAATATATTTATTATCTTAAAATTATAAATATATTTTTTATAATAATTTAAAATATTTAATGCTTTTTAATGTGTTCTAGAACACGCGTTACAAAAATCATATATTATTTATACTTTGATATTTAACAATGGAGTTTGCTTTTGTAATTTTATATTTTAAAGAAATTTGTTATTTTTAAAATAAATTGAACAAATTTGAATCTGTGTATTATACTTATCATTTATGATTTTCATTTTTAATATTTAATTTAAAATAATTTTTTTAGTTTTATAGTATTAATTTATTAAATAGAATTAAAAAGATTGGGCTTCGGACTTATGTTTGAAACCATGAATTTATATCTTATTTTTTATAAAAATAAATTGGTAGAGTCATTTAATAACCATAAAATGAAATAAATTTATAACTTTTGAAAAGTTTATTGAAATAGGATTTAGATTATAGTTATTAATGATTTTATATTATTTTAATTTTTAATTTTTTAAATAAATTGTATATAGATAAAAATTCTAAAATTTCCTCCTCATTTAATTCTGATATATAATATAATATTACTATTTTGTCATTTAATATATTTAAATTAATTTTATTAAATAACTCTAATGCAATTAACTGCTTATAAAGATAAAATATAAACTTTTAAATAATTTTATCGTATTTACTCGATATTATAATTTAACTTATCATAATTTTTTAAAATCATAATTATTTTTTCAGTTGTTTAATTATAAGTTTTATTGTTTTCTTCCAACTTTTGTAAGTATCTTTAAATTTTAAAACTAATAAAGATAATATTTTGAACATATTTTTATTTTATTGATTTAATTAATAGAAGTACATAAATCCTTTAAAAAAAATAAAGGATATCTTAAAATTTATCTTTGACAATAGAAATTGTTGAGTTTATTTTTTATCAGAAATTATTGTTTGAATTTTGAATATTCTCTATTTTGAAATTTCCTGCTAAATAAAACGCAGAGGTTAGTTATTTTCTCATTGTTCTCCAAACCGGATCAGATGATTAAACTAGTTTGTTTGCCTATTCGGTCAAGCCATAATCTTGTTCATGGGTACCTGTTACTTGTATTGTGGGTTTGGATAAATAGATGTAACACAGAAGGAATAAAAACAAAAAAAAACAAAATAAGAGGTTAAAATATACATATATATATATATATATATATATATACTTGTTTAGATGAGTACAAAATAGTGAAAAGAAATAAATAATTTATATTTAAAATATTTTAAAATTTAATTTCTATATATTATTATTATATCAACAATAATTTTTGTTTTTATAATAATTAATATAAAAATTATATTTATGATATATTATCATTAGTTGATAGTGTAAAAATCTTTATACTTACAATACACTGAAATTAAACTTCATGTTTTATAATAATAATAATAATAATAACAAATTTATTTTAATAAGAAAATTTAAAACTTCCAATATACTATTATTCTATTTTTAAAAATATTTATATATTTCTAAAATTTATTTAACACTAAAAAAATAAAGGAAAATAAAGTTTCTATATACTATGTAAATCACGGCTGAGATGGTGAGAAAAAAAAAATTGAGTCCCACTTATTTATTATTTTATTTCACTAAAAAACAAAACATTTAAACAAAAAAATTTATTTTCTCTACTGAAAATCTCTTCTCCCAGTTTCTTTCCTTTCACTTTTATCTCATCAACTATGCCTTAATCCTAACTATGCGACTCAACTATGTTCATTAATAAACGAAGATGATGTCTCTCTACTGATCTACAAATTATAAACTAAAAATATGTGTATTATTTTGCATATATGATAGACAAATAAATAAAATTATATAAAATATTAACTATATTGGTTTAGTCACTGATCAATTATTGAATTGTGGACTACTTATTACCTTTATTAATTAGTTTAACGGCCGTTTCAATTCCAAACACATTTTTTCTCATAGCTTTAAAAATCGGATTGGTCTAATAAGTTGGAGTAGGAACTGATCCCGGTCGGACAACTCACAAAATTGGATGTCAAAATTAAGTAAAAAACAGGTGTAAACCAATGCTATTAAATTGATTTTAATCCATTAAAAAAATTTAAAAATATATATAATGTATTCATGAATTGATATTATTTAATTAATTATTAAATTTTTGTAACTTATATTGATTTATTATTCAATATATTATATCAAAAACCATACGTTTAATCATGTACCGAGTTGACCCGAATTCAACCATAATTAAATCATAAACCAATACTTTTATTAGTTCAGTTATTGATCCAATTTTAAAAACATTCAATTTTTTTTATATTTATTCTTATTCAAATAATTAATATGATTTTAAAATTTAATATATTTTGCAGTATTTTATAAGTTATGAGAATATTTTATGTCATTTCATACATAAAATAATTATTATCGTTAATTTTATATTAATAAATAATAAAATTAATAATTTATTTTAAATAAATATAAAGGCCTTTTCATCTTAAAACATCAATCACAATCGTAGGGTATTCATTACCCTCTCGAGATCACCACGAAATCAATGTGGTAACAGGTAAAGGGTTTCAGGATCTCCAGTACAACGGGTACGGGAAGTACAAATGTCAACCACTTTGTGATGTCAACATTATGCCCTCTATTTTTTAGAGTTTTCATTGAAAGTAATTAATTTTTGTTCCAATCAAAATATTTAATATAATTATATTTATTACATTTTAAATTTAATATTATAAATTAAATTAAATTAATTTCTTGTCAGTTGATAATTTTTTTAGAGTTTTTTTAACATATATAAAAATAATTTTATTTTATATAATTTAATTTGTTAATAAAATTAAATGTTATAATTTTTAATACATTTTTTATATTATATATTTTTTTAACAAACATTTTATTTGTCATTTTCAAACAATTTGTTTATTTATTTATCATTTAAAAAAATTGAATTAATATTCATTATTATTTTCTTTGTTGTATTCACAGCATCAATAAGGAACGTTAGGTTAATAATTTTCAAAATAATAAATGAGAAAGATGAATGAATGCTAAAAATTCATTTTTTAAAAATAAATGATATCAATTTTATTTTTTTTATAAACTGCATAGCAATAACACGGAATGGAAAGAATACTCTGTTGGTGAATTATAATTAAATATGATATTTGCTCAAATTTCTGTTTTATGTGGCGATCCTACTGGGTATTGTTTGATCGATAGCATTTAATTCATACAGTGTTGTTTGAACTGAATCAACCATGAATTGACGAAGTAGTTAGAAAAAAGTTTGATCCCATAATTAAATCAGTAGTCAGATTAATTTAAGGTAATAAATTTCCATTGACCTTGTTTAATTAAAGGATGAAAATGAGCGTAAAGACAAGTAATTAATAATAATAAAATTTATTAAAAATAAATAATTATTATATATTTATAACTTTAATATGATAAATGTATATTTTTTTATAATTTTTTTTTTATGAATGTTTAAACTTAATCTTAAGAATTGAGGTTGATAATAAGAATAGGTTTAATAGCAACACGATTTTAAAAGGCAAAGTAAAAAATCAGTATTATTTAGGGAAAACAATCATTTAAGAGGCATACTCTTCCTTAACTCTGTTGAAATAAGTATGGGAAGATGATAATATTAACATAATTTTTCTCCTAAAATAACTCTAAATATGGACTCCAAGCCCTCCACCACGACCAGGATTTTCGCTCTGTTTCACATAATCCATGCCATTTTGCTTGTCAGCAACTCCACCTGCGAAACACATGAATAAGTGTCTTACATTTTCCATGAAAAAACATAAACTTGTTATCATTTTTTTTTTAAATTTTTGTGATAATTATAAACAATAAGAAAATGCAAATCAAAGAAGTCTAATATAATCTTACCAGCTCCAGGCCCACCACCACCAGGCCCACCAGGGAAACCACCACCTCCGGGCCCACCAGGGAAACCCCCTCCTCCAGGGATACCAAAACCAGGCACCCCAAAACCTGGCATTCCAAAACCAGGAATACCAATTACGCAATTTTTACCGTCACAATTTTTTGACAAGGAAGTCTCAGCCAAGTTCCTAGCTGCCATCACTGAGGAGATAAAAGAAACCATGGCCAAGATGGCTAGCATTCTTGAGCCTTCCTTAGAAACCATTTTTCAACAGTAAACCAAAACCAAAATCAAGTAAATGATGGTTGATGTAAGATCGATGTGAAATTCAGTAGGACATTGTACTCTATTTATAGGGGAGAAGTTAAGAAAGGGTTTGAAAACAGGAGTAAATGGAACTGGTGGTAGTTCAATTTGTTTATTCATTAACCATCTAATCTATATTCAGGCATAAATCTACGTGTACATGTTTAAAAGTTAATCTTAAACTCTATAATGTGAAATGTGTATAAATATTTCACTTTCTTTTATAAAATATTTGTTAAAAAATATATTATATTTTTAGGGTTTATTTTAAAAATATATAAGAAATTGAAAGTGAAAGATCTTCTTGAAAATCACATTTGATTGCATTAAAAATCATGGGAGAAAATTTATTTATTACAATTTTTAACAAAAATATTTCACTTTTGGTTCTTTAACCAGCGTCCTAAAAGCACTCATTAGCGTTTGCTTTATATTTGAAATGAATGGACCACAAAAATATTAATGAAAGAGTTTAATGACCTTTTATTAAAAAAGTTATGAATGTATTCATTTTTTTATATTTTTTTAATATATCAAAATAAATTTATAATTTTTTTATTCATCCGTTATAAATGAATTATTTAATCCATCATTCAATACCTCTACCCTTATTCACTCATTCTCTCTCTCAATTAATTTTTAGTCTTGAAAAAAATTAATTCTCTGAGCTGTGAACTGAAGCAGCATTCAATAGTAGATGTTTTTGTATCAAAGGTGTATGCAATGGAAGTAGGTAAAATCACCAACGAGTGGCACAATACTGTGAATCTCTTATCTTGTTTGTGTTTCAAAATAAAATAAAGTAAATATTAATTATTAAGCATCAAGTTAACCAAAAAATTATAATAACTTCCATTCTTTTTTTTAAGAGCTCGTTTATTGGTTAAGATAGAAATATATCCAATGAGATAATTATCATATTAATTCTTAATCAAGTGTTTTTTAAATTATAAGAATAAAATTAATTTATCTCATTGTCTATCATATTTTATTAGACCAATATAATTGTTCAGAAAATATAATTGATTAAAAGGGAAAAAAAACAGAAGAGCATAGCAATTATTTTTTACAAAATATTTTTAATTTATTTTATTACTTTTATCTTTATCCTTTCTTTCCTATTATGTATCTATTTCCCTCTTCTATGTTTTTATATATTTTTAAAACTATATTAAAAAATTAATTTATTTATATTTTTTATAAATTAAAAATAAATAACTTATAATTTTTAAAAAAAATAAAAATTAATTTAACAAATATAGATAAAAGAGTAATTTTATAATTTTTTCCATATTTACATCATATATTTCTTTCTATTAAGTCTACATCAAATATTAGATATGATAAAAATTTATTATACTCTTATTATATTATTCTTTTATTTAACTTTCTTATTCTATTTTTTATGATCTTATCCTAACTAACAAGCCTTGAATGCTTTATTCAATTAAATTCTTGAATTGACTAAGAAGAAAGTTTGAAAAAAATTAAAACCAATACCAAATTTACATTTATTAACGTTTTTAATAAAATATTAAAAAAACATAGACTCATTAATTTTTTAAGTATTGATTATTAATTTTTTAATCAATAAATTATATAAAGATGTGTTTTTAACATTAAATAATTTTTTTTTTCTAAAGTTAAAAATCAACCCAAAAAGTCAAGCATTATTTTTTAATTTCCATTTGTAATTGTTCATCTAAAAAATTTACACATACTAGAGTTTAAATACGATACCTCTTATTAAATATCCATTTCACACGTATTATGTAACCCTTTCAATTTAAACAACTTCCATTAAAATTATATATTAAAGATTTTTTAAAATCTTAAGGCTTGAGTTTTGTTTAAATATGAGAAAAGTATAGCGTTAAGAAAAAAAATATGGTAGAAAATATAAGATAATAAAAAACTATTTTTTCTATCTAAATAACGTACCATTTTTTTTTTAAGTAAAATATAACGTATCATATTTAAGTCTTATTTAACATTCTATAATATATTATTAATCATTCAATAACGTTAGTAATATACTTACAATCTCATCACTTTTGTTATCAAAAAACGAGTTGGTATCATTTTTTCTCTTAGATATTTTTTTTTCTCTTAAATCTTGTTGAAAATTTACGTGTGCTAGAAATCATTTGTTTACACAAATTACTCATCCATAATTTCATTTTATTACAAACCCATTTTTAAGTTTATTATGGTTTGGTACTGTGAGAAGATATCTCGAGAGAATATTAGGATGCAGAACCTAAAGATGTTCAAGAAGGATTCATCATTTGTTAACGACTTCGGGTCACATGAAATAGAAAAATATATTAAATATAGTTTTAATTTTTACATTTGAATATTTTTTTTTTAATTTTTCAAATATGTTTTTTTAATTTTTTTTAGTAAAATTTTATAGCAGAACTATTGAAAATAATAATAGATTTTATTATCGTCAATTTTTAAAATTTATTTTTAACATTTATAGATAGAAAAAATTTATATAAATAGTATATTTACAAAAGTGTAACAAATGTTTATTTTTAATAAAATCTTATTATTAATAATTGTTTATTTTCAGTTTTAAAAATATTTAAAATAATTAAAATTTAAACTGTTAAAATATAAATATTAAAATCATATTTAAAATTAAAATAATAATAAAAAATATAAACATATGTAATGCATAAATGGCATCGGTTTTGACATCTGTCCTCCTTCCTTAGCTATCCAACTTTAAGTGTTTAAATTTTAGTAAGAGATAATAAAATAGAAGTTACATTCTCAAAATTAGAATAACAAATAAGTATTTTTTAGTTTCTTATTATTTTTTTAATTGATAGTTATAATTGTTTAAATATTTAAAAATTAAAAAACATTTTTATAATTTTAAAATAAATCACTAATTTCTATTATTTACTTTACATATTTAATATAATATTAATGGTTATGATTGTGTGTTTGAATTATATTAAAAAATTAAAATATTATTTAAATATTTTTGAAATTATTTTAAAAATACATGTTATAACTTTTTATTATTTATTTCAAGCAAATTTTTGAAGTTTAATGATTCAGATCTATTAATTTATTTTTAAGTTAACTTTTCTTGTTTTATTATGTTTTTACCATTTAATTATTTAAAATAAAAAAGTAATTATAAATTATAAATTTATATCATATATTTATTTTTTTTAGAAAAAATAATTATTTTATACATTTTTAACATAATAAATTATTTTAAAATTACTTGTAGTTTAACATAATTATTAAGAACCAGAGTAAAAATAAAAAATAAAAATTTTTAAACATTAACATTTTATCAAAGATACGTTTAAAACATAGAAAGTACTTCAATTCATTATAACTCTAGAGAGAATCAATAATGCATATTAAGAAATTATCAATCCAATTAACTGAAGAATTAACAATACATGTTAAGAAATTATCAATCTAATTCACTAGAAAATTAACAATATATATATTAAGACATTATCAATCTAACTCACATACAAAATCAATATTTCTAACGATCCAATTGCAAGCCAACTTATAAGAATAGTACTTAACCATATTAAATATTTTATCTACAAACTATATTATTACAACTTGCATTCATATTTTTTTTACATTGAATTTTACACATACTCAATAACGTCGTGCAAATCTTTAGATAAACATAAATTGACACAAAATAATTCAAATATCATATATTACACTCTCATAGAGATATTGCAATGCAAAAAGAAATATAATATATTTTTCTCTTTAGTATCACACAGTTCACAAATTTATAAAGAAATCACTAATTTATATTTAGTCAAATTTTTTTCACCAAAATTACATTAAACAACATATTCTAAATGAATACTACTATTTTTCTTAACGCATTAATCTTCCCAACAAAAAGCAAGCTTTTACACTTCTATTGCTTTTTTAATACAAATAATATATTTTTAGTTATTGCAATTTTTGGTCAAGCTCTATTGCAAGTAAAAATAACTCTAGTTGTGGCCTTGAGGGTATCTTCTAACACCAGGCCCACCCCCGTGACTCCGACCTCCTCCACCTGGAGTACCCTGTCCCGGTCCACCTTCTCCTCACCCACCAGCCCTCCCCTTCTGGCCCAAGTTTTATCGCGTACTGTTTCGTGAGATTTGATTTAAAAAAAATAAAAATACAAACTCACCCGTTCTAGTCTAGCTATTGAAGAAGCTTCAACCAAGTCTCTACAACCACCCCCATCGAGGAGATAAAAACAACCATGGCCAAAAGGCCTATGTGGAGTAAGGCTTTCTTACAAGCCATTTTATAAACGAAAGAAACTAAAATCAAATAAATGTTTTTATATAGCTTGAGTTGAGGAAGACTCCAATGTTTGTTATTTTATATGTTATAAATTATCAAAAATCATGTATAACTGAGTTATCATACAATATAATTAAAAAAATTTAATTAATTAATTAATTAATATATTAATTAATCAAAATAATTTATTTTTTTCATTCTCCGCGTTTAAATATTTTGCTCATCCATTAATTAAACAATTGATTCCTTAAGTAAATTAATTTTATTTTTATTTTTATTTTTATTTTTATTAATACATATCTTCAGATTAACGTGTAGTTTCTCCGTGTTAATGCATTACGAATTGTGAACAATTTTGTGTAATTCCATTATTTTAAGCTTTGTACCATATAAATCTATTTTAAAATTAAATTATACTTTAATTTTAATTAATTAAATAATTGTTTTATTTATTAATTAAAATATATTTTCATTCCCCTCTTTTAAACATTTCTCTCATTAATCAATCAATTAATTAATTAATTAATTAATGTTTATTTGCTTTATTCAGACAACAATTTTATAGCGTTCAAATATCAGGTCTCTATATTGATGTACATCATAAAAATATTTATTAAAATCAAATCATACTTTTTATTAATTAATTAATATTTAAGTACTTAAAATTGTTTTTTTATTTTATTTGTTTAATATTTTACAACATTAATGTGTAATCTATATCATTCTTAATTGTTGCATAAGTTATATAAATTGACGTATAATTTATAATATTTTAAATTCTATACAATGTCAAGTTTTCGTATTTACTAAAATATTTTGTAAAATTAAAATACTTTTTAATTTTTTAACAATTTTTAATCTAAAATATGTATTATTTTTTTTATCTTCTATAATTGTCTATGTTATATACTAAATATATTTACACTTTAGGTTCATGCGACTAAATGTGATGTATAAGTTTACTATCAGAAATTTGTTATATATATAAAATTTTTGACTTGTTTAAGCACTACTTGTTACTCATACTAACATCTATTAGTTTTAATTATAAACATTAAATTAACCAACTACTTAGTTTTAATTTTTTTATTACACTTGAAAAGACAAAAATAAAAGTTTATCAACCAAGTCAAAATAAATTATTAAAATAAAATTTTAATTATAAATTTTTAATTAATATTTTATTATAAATAATTGTTTTAAAATAAATAATAAAAACTATTTTTAAAAATATTATAAATTTACATACCTAATTTAAAGTAATTATTTAAAAATAATCATTTCAAAGTGTTAATATTTTCATCACGCAAACTCAAATTTAATTTAAAAATTTCATTAAGAATTTTTAATATTTTTTATAACTTATTTAAGTTTAAAAAATAATTTTACTGTGCATTAACCGATGCGTCACCACTCCAGCGCTACTTTGGGAATACATTTTTCAATAAAAAATTATTAAACAATATAATTTTTTTAAGTTATACTAATATGATCTCTAGTCAATGATATGTACAAATTTAGTTATTAGTTTGGCTTGGACACCTCTCCTCTTTTATTAAATACTCAATTTTAATTTTTTAAAATGCAGTGAAAAACAATTAAAAAAAAACTTATATTCCTACAGTTACAATGTTAAATATAAAAAAAGTAAAAATAAATGGGGCATGCATTAGTTTTAAATTTGAGTTTTTTTTTTTTTTGGTATATAGATTTGAGTTTTTTTCTATTAATTAAATTAACATTTTAATCTGATAGTATTTCAATTTTTTTTTTCTGATACTAGATACTTGTCAGATACATTTTATTTTATTTTTATGACGATGAAGATTTACTAAATACGATAAAAAAAATTGAAAAAGCGAGACATTGTGATACAGATTTAATAACATCACGAATCTTTAAATGAGAGTAAGTAAAAAATTATTATTATATAGATAAAGCAAGCTTTTAAGGTAGATACATATATACTGATTTATGTATTCAAATAAGTTTTAATTATTGTATTTTTTGGTTGATGATTATTGCTGGGTTAAATAACTCTAGTTGTGGTTGTGGCCACTAGAGTAGCTTGTAACACCAGGCCCTCCTCCCCCATATCCACCACCCCCTCCAGGCCCCCCGCCACCATATCCACCACCCCCACCAGGCCCACCAGGACCACCTCCTCCTGGCCCGCCAGGTCCACCACCACCTCCTCCATAACCACCGCCAGGTCCACCAGGCCCTCCACCTCCTGGCCCACCAGGACCTCCCCCTCCTGGCCCACCAGGACCACCTCCTCCTGGCCCGCCAGGTCCACCACCTCCAGGCCCTCCACCTCCTCCATAACCACCTCCTGGCCCACCAGGACCACCACCTCCTCCTGGCCCACCCCCATAACCACCTCCGCCACCGGGTCCGCCACCTCCTGGCCCTCCAGGTCCACTACCGCCAGGCCCACCCCCGTAACCACCTCCAGGCCCTCCTCCACCACCAGGACCACCCTCTCCAGGTCCACCTCCTCCTGGCCCACCAGGCTCTCCACCTCCTGGCCTACCGGGCCCTCCACCTCCTGGCCCTCCAGGCCCTCCTCCTCGTGGGCCACCAGGTCCTCCCGGTCCCCCACCTCCTGGCCCACCAGGCCCCCCACCCCCATAGCCACCACCAGGTCCACCCCCATAGCCGCCACCAGGTCCACCTCCGTAGCCACCTCCAGGCCCGCCCCCATATCCCCAACCAGGCATGCCACCACCCCCAGGCCAACCGAAACCAGGGAAACCGAAGCAATTTAGTGTGGAACACACCCCATCAACATGTTCGTGGCCTGTAAATTTTTCATTTTTCACTTCACTCACGTAATTTTGCTCTTTAGCTACTTCACCTGCAAACACATGTTCCATTAACTAACGTTATCAATACAATTGCCATAAAAACAATAATAATGTAGGGCTGACGAACACAAGTTTTATCATTTAAGGTTTGTGAAAACTGAGAGCAAACTCACCCGTTCTAGACATTGCGGAAGCTTCCACCAAGTCTCTAGCTACCACCATCATTGAAGAGATGAAAGCGAGCATGGCCAAAAGACCTAGGTTGAGTAAGGCTTCTTTAGAGGCCATTTTTCAATAGTAAAAGAAAGAAAGTAAATTCGAACTAATGATAGCTGATGGAAGATCGATGTGAAAATTGCTGGAGAAGTGTACTCAATATATAGCTGAAGTTGAGTCAACATTTCACCATTTGTCTTGAATAAATTCATTTTTCTCCAAGACCCAAAAAAGTCACAATTTTTTTATCCCACTCAATGTCCTTCCTAATTTCTAGTCATCTATACTTATTACAATTGATTATGCCATCTTATGTTATTAAAGTAACATTCAATACTATATTTATTAAATGTAATCTAAAATAATATAATCAACTACTTATTCATTAAATATAATATTTATAATATTTTTTATTGATTGCAAATTGCTCTTTAATATATAAGATGTAATGAGAATTTAACTATTTCATTATAATTATATATTCTTTTGATTTTTTTTCAAATTTTAAAAAATATAAAAATGTATTTAAATAATATCTATTATCTAAAATTTTAAAAATATATATTGTGTTATTTTTTAATGTACATAAATTAAGTATTGAATCAATATAATTTTATTTAAAATTTATAAAATAATTTATACGATAATTTTTTAATTCAATTGATTCTTTCAGAATATTTTTTAATAAAAAATATTAAATAATGTAACTCTTTATGTAATTTAAACATAACTTATTAAAAAATATAATTAGTTCTATTTTTAATTATAATTAAATTTTATCATAATTATTAAGAATTATTTTTCTTAAATATAATTTTATATTTCAATAAAATCATACATTTTTTTATTTTTTATTTTTATAATGCATAATAATTTTATTTAACATATTTTATATATTAAAATTAATTTTTTAAAATTAAATAAACTCACCAACGCACACACATTATAACAAGTATATACTTAAAATTAATAAAGTTAATCTATAAAAATATTAAAGCATTCTTCATCTATGGAACACAAGTTTTACTCCTTTACTGAAATCTAGTATCGGTTGCAAAATAATATATATATATATATATATATATATATATATATATATATATATTATTAGGCATCAAAATCAAAAAAATAAAGAAACTTGCATTTTGCTTTAAATGTTTTCTTCAGTTTCTTGAACTGAGCAAGAAATATTTTTGAAAAAAATCAAATAACCAAATAATCTTTTATTAGTTTTTTTTAAATAAAATATTAAAATAAAGACAAAACTTACCTTCATAGTTGCTTAGGTAAATTATTAATAGTTATTATAAATTTAAATATAGATTCATAATTTTCTTTTATTAAATATTTTATTTATAAAATATATTTTGAAGTAACTTTTTTAAATATAAAAATATTTTTATTTTATCTTTTATATGTTAAAAATTTAATTTAAAAAATTTTAATCCAACAAATTTTTTATTATATATATATATATATATATATATATATCTTTGAGTATTTATATGTAAAATTTTTAAAAATTTGTTATTAGATTATATTTTTTTATTTTTTTATTTTCTATTCAATTTTATTTAAATTTTGACTTGAGTCGCACATCTGGATATGATAAGTGAATTACTCAAATTAAGGAACTTATTTAAGTAATACTTAGCCACTTAACATTCGATCTATTGGTTATTAAATTTTATTTTTAATAAATATTAATATACTTTAATGATATTTTAATTATTATTTACAACATATTTTTTAAAAGTTTATAAGATAACTTGTAAGTTATTTTTAAATAAATTTTATAAGAAATTATAAAACAAATTACCTTGACATGTTTAGAATTAATATATTTTATTTTTAAACATAACTTTCTAAAAATATCGTTATTAGTTTTTAATTATAATGAGAAAATATATTATAATTATTCAGTTTTAATTTTAGAAAAAATTAATTTTATGTTTTATTAAAATCATAAATTTATATTATTATCTCAAATTTTAATTTAAATTTATCAAATTTTATATTTTTATGATATATAATTATTTTATTTTGCGTATTTGTATATTAAAAATATTTTTTGATAGTTAAAATAAAAGTGCATTGCAAAGAAATTATAACTATATATATACTTTAAATTAATAAAATCTATAAAACTATTAAATTATTTTTCAGCTATGAGACGCATGTTTTGTTCCTTCAGTTTCTTGAACTGAGCAAGAAATTTTTTTAAAAACAATAAAAAAATAATTCAAATTTGCTCTCACTAGTTTTTTTAATAAAATATTATAACAAAGAGAAAGCTTACATTCATTATTTCCTTAAATATTTGTTATTAAGTTTTTATTTAAAGAATGACATGACGAGTATTTGTCAATTTCAATAATTTTATTTTTACGTTAAAAAAATATGAGTAATATTACCTTCACATACATGTAATGAATCTTTTTAGCAAAATGTCTTGTATTTGAATTTTACGTTCAAAATTTATTCGAAAACATGTAAAACTGTGAAGTGTGAACAATTTTGAGTGATTTAAACTTGTGACATTTTATAATATTTGTTACTGAAAAAAATAATGACACAATAAAAAGGAATTAAAAATGAATGATAAACAAGATTATAAAATGTGTATAAAACTAATATAACCTTTTTAGAAAATAAAAAATTAGGAAGAAGAATGAAACGGAAAGTAACATATTGGAAATAACGAAAGAACCTGTTACAAGCAACATTTTGCATCGAAGTTGTTCAATTGTTTTATGGCAGAAATTGTGGGCACACTAAGGTTATTGCTGCATGAGAAAAGAATATCTTTTTTAACTATTCACGGCAATTTGTATATATTCTTAAGAAAGCTAAAAAAGATAAAAGTGACCAAAGTAATAAATAAGGCAACATCATAAAAATGTATATATCAATGTTAAACGAGACAATGAGTATTAATACCATCGAATGTTTATAGAATTTTCCATGTATAACAATTATCTGCTAATGTTACTTTCTGTTTTGTATTACGTTTGTTGCATCGATTATCAAGAAACAATAAAGATCTCCACGGTGGGTTCTACAAGTTGTTTGAAAAATTATTTTATCAAAGTTTATTTAATAAAAATAATATTTTTTTAATAAAATATCTAAAATTAATTTTTTAAAATATTTTTTTAACGTTACATATTTTTGCCGAAAATGATTGTATTACTTTTTATTCTATTTTTCTAAACAATTCATTATTTACTCATACTTTTTTTTTTTACTTTTATTACATTAAAAAAGTGTCACAAATAAAAAAATATCGCAACATTCATTATAGAAAAAATTAATAATTTTCCTTGAAATTTTTTAATAAGCACATTAAGTCTTATTTTATAATAAAATATTTATTTATAAATAATAATAAATTAAAAATTGATGATTCTAATTTGAACATGATAAACTATTTTTAATAAATTAAAATATAAAAACATTTTTAAAAATATATAATTACTAAATTTAAAATTTTGGTGTATTTAGTTCTGATATATTTATGTCATTATTATTTTTATTAATTAGCTTAATAGTTAGTTTTGGCAAACACCTTAATTAAATCAGTAAATTTTTTAGTTTCCAATTTTAAACTAGTTAACTTTTCAGCTTTTAGTTATTTCGTTAGTCAATTTTTCAACACACATCAAGAAACAATGATAATTAAAATAAAAATGCTGAATAATAAAGAAAAAAATACTGCAATTTATTTACTTAACATTATTATACATGGTCTGTTTGATTCCATTTTTTGTTTTCTAAAATTTGTTCTACATATTTTTATCAAATACAGAAAGAAATGAGAGCAACTATGATGATAAAGGGAAAATGAATGACTAAAAAATACTACAATTTGTGTTTGATTATTTGTTCTATCATATTTAGTACTACAATTTGTGTTTGATTATTTGTCTGCATTGCAATACTTCTAAGACTGTGGTAGATGATGCTCAAATGGTTGTGTCAGTATATACTTATTTGAAAATTTGCATGAGATATTACTGAATATGTGTGAAATTCGATGTGAAAAAAGAAGAAGAATGTAGTTGTAATGATGTAGTTTACCGTAATATGAATAATTTGACTTTAGAGATATAATATTATCTTTTATAACAATGTACTAAATATTAGTGAAATATTTGATTTTATTACGTATCGTTTAATTGTGTACGTGAATTGCATTAATAATCTTTTGACAAGTATGGTTAATAAGGGTGGACAACATATGAAGGCCCACCTGAAACTAGGATAACCGAAATTTTGAAAACGCTAACTAGGTGGGTTAATTTTGATATAGGTTAAATGAGGTTTAATTTTCAGATTAAATGGGTTAATTTGGTCATGAGCAGTTTGTTATTTTTGTAACTGATTAAATTCGTCCCTGGCCGAACAAAATCGTTAATCTTTCAAACTTCTAAGACTCTATTGGTTTAATGCAGTGTGGTTTTCCTTAAAACAAATCGTGGACAAATGAGTGTGGGGAAATGAACCTTCCATGCCAGATGACTGCTAGCGCAAGTCAGAATTTAGAGTCCTATAGCCGGTGAATCATCCCCCAGTCGCAGGGTCTGAACTCTTCCTTCGTTCCATGGTTTGTTGAGTCTTCTAATTCCTTTTCATTCTTCTCTCATAAAGCATATGATCCATAATCATGTAAGAAATTTGATCTCTGGTCCAGAAAAAGTCACTCGTAGTGGGACACTCCACACCCAAGCTAGAGTGGGGCAAGGAAGAGTCCGTAGAATAGTGATATAGCTGATCAAAATTTATACACTGATCAAACCATCCGATCTATCTGTATAAATATTCAAATCAAAATCCTGAATTACTCGATAACTTCGTGGTCGAAATCAGCCAAAAATTTAAGATAGTTAGTTTATATTAGTTCTAAATTTTATTGAATGAATCTAACTGAATCCATCTATTGTCCACCTTTAATTGTTAATTTTTTTTAGAGGTGGATTAAAGTACTCCTTATATTCATATTTTATTTTTAATAAAATGTTGATACTTAAAAAAAAATAAAAATATTTTATTAACAACCTAGAACTTTTGGCAAAATTATGTCTTTCATAAATTATGCGTCTAACATGTAAATTACATTATCTTTTATTATAATAATTTTTTTATTTATTATTTAATTTAAAATTATAATATAAAAGTTATTTCTTAACTTTCTTTTATATTTTATATAAATTTTTATATTTATATTTATAATTTTTTATTATCTTGTATACATTTTTAAAATTAATATAAATATATTTATTTACATAAAAATTATAATTTTTTTACTTTATAACTTATTTTTATTACTTTTAAATAAGCAATTTTTAAAATTATTATAAGTTTATTAAATATTTATCATTTTAATACAGATTACTTGTGATTATAAATTAAATTAAATTGTTTTTTAAATATAATTAAACCCTAAACCCTAAAATAAAGAAATATATGTTTGTAGACGTTTCTAAAATTAGAATAAAAGATAAATAAATGGACCGTATTGAATATTATTTATAATAATCATAAAATAATAAATTAATATATAAATTACTTTTTACGATATTTATTTGTAATAATTATGTAAAAATTATTATTATTATGATTATTATTATTATTATTATTATATTGTAAAATTGATTTAATAATATAATTAAAAAAAAAGCGCACACACATTTTGTTCACCACTTCCTTTCGCTCTAATTTATTTTAAAGAAGCCTCGCACACTCCTATTTGTTTCGTCTTCTCCTCTCATTTATCTTAACACATAACCTTTCTTTTATTCATCCTATTTTCCTTCTCTCTCGTCCCAACCAATGAATTGTTATATTTATTTGTTTGCTTTTATACCTTTTATTTATTTTTTTATCTCTCTACACTCAAAATACAAAATTATTACTGTCCTTAAAAATAACCCATCTCTCACTCTGTTACATGAATACTCCAATATTACTGAACACAAAGAAATATTTCATAGTACAAAGATTTTACACAAAATTATTAGACAAAAATAATTTATAAAGGCAAACTGCTTGCTTTTTTGCAGTACTCTGTTTATTTGTTTTTGAATTTAACATCTTTCAACAAATGAGACACACCTAGATTCTCATAGGTTTCGAACAATTATCAGTGTAGGATTCTAACAGTCCTCGAACACAAGTCAAATTCTATCTCGCCTGATTAGCTTTTGCTTTCGGTCGTCGACCGAAGGTTCGAAACTTCTATATATAGCCTAATTAAGGTTAGTCTATATGGTCGATGAGTTGCATGTCATTCCAAGATTATCAGCCGTAGTTACTTTATGGTAATAAGTCGATTAAAGTGTTTGAATATATAATTTATTTAAGTGTTTATTTAATATATTTAAAGTAATGACTTGTATTATAAATTTAATAATAAAATTTATTAAAATTAACATAAAAATTATAAATTATTTTTTTTTAATAAAATATTCATAAATTTTTTCAAACATTTCTGTAATTACCAGGGAATCTATATTGACATGATAAAATAAAAGGACAAATTTAACAATATATATTAACGATGATGATGCATGAAACACAGTAAAAATCACAGTTTACGCAAACTAAAATTTTATACAATAGATATCCAAAATAGCACCACTTTAATTTGCTCTTAAACTTATCACATGGACACACGGACGTATTATTCAACACTACATTTATCCTAGTAAAATATCTCTAGGGGCAAGAAAGGTCACGTGCAAAAATGGGCCTTCATGCTGTTTCGCCATGCCTCTCACCACACGAGAATTCTTTATTCATCGAATATTTTATAGTAATAAGTAAAACTGCACTGTCTAGTTATGAGTCTTGACCTCAGTTTGTGCAGCCGCAGCTTCACCAGCGTAAGAACAGCACCTTCTACAACCTCCCCCATATGATCCACCACAGCAACCATGGCGGCAATACCCTCCCCCACCGTGTCCTCCATGACCTGGATAGCCACCACCGTATCCACCACGGCCAGGGTAGCCACCACCACCACCATGGCCAGGGTAGCCACCGCCATAGCCTCCACGACCTGGGTAGCCGCCACCACCACCATGGCCAGGGTAGCCCCCACCATAGCCTCCACCGGGATATTTGGCATCACCCACTAAATCTTTTGTCTCTTCAACAGTATCAGCTGCAAACACAGACACAAGCACATGAACCATTTACAAGATTCATTTGGTGGCGAGTGTAAATTAGCTTTAACATCTTCAAGTAAGTAGGTTAGGAATCACCTTGTCTTGTACGTAAGCTATCATTTAATTCAAAACGTACGTTCGTGAGAACGGAAATATTTTTTGAATAACGTCGACAAAATAACTTTTTAATAATAAAAAATTCAACTACTTTTTAATATATAATTTAAAAATAGTACATACTATAACTTTTTGGTATTTTTTAGTGTTTTTGAAATATAAAGGTACAAAAAGAAAACAATACGTAAAAGGTTAAAAATAATTACATGTAATAAACGTTATATATATATATCATAACATAATTGTCGTGAGAAAATTAAAGCAAAATGATATGTAGCTCACCCTCTTTTGAAGTCTCAGCTAAGTCCCTAGCTGCCACCTCTGAGGAGATAACAAGGAGCATGGCCAACAGGCCTAGGATGAGTATTGCTAACTTGGAACACATTTTTCACGTACCACAATACAAGGTATGGATTGAGTAGAGATATGTTATTTGGTAATGAAGGATGAGAAAATTGGAGGGAAAGTATGCTCTATATATAGGAGAGGAGGAGAGAGAAATAGGGGCCAAGGTAGTTGGCACAGTGGCCTACATTAATTCAATCTTATCTAAGCAAAATTAAGAACCCGGGATTTGTTCTTCTTCTCCAGTTGAATTTCCCTCCTCTCTATTCTGAATGGTAAATAAGTGTAGGCTATGAAGTTGAAGCAGCAATTATTGTACGTGTCTCAACTAGCTATGTTGTACGTACTACTGAGAAGTGGCCGGCGAAGTAGAGACAACTACTGCTAGCTACTTTGACGTCACAATTTTATTCTTATATGATCAACTTGACACGTTATACAGTATAACTTCAATTTTATCTTTTTTCAATCTGCTTATAACTTCAAATTTAACTTCTGAGAAATTGTTAATGCTATTTACCCCATTTTTTTATCTCAACAATTCTAACAGTTTAAGAGAGAGAAAAAAGAAAAATATTAAATAAAATGAGTGATGTAATAAAAAACAAAATGTAAAATCATAAAAATTTATTAAAAAAGGTAATGTTACTCTTAATTTTTGGGGTACTAACATTGGTAAAGTCGCGACTTACGTATATGATAACTTACCTAAACTCGTTGAGACATAACCTTGGTTATGAATAATGAATTATAGGTAATTTTCTTTTGTTTATAATGCGTTTTTCATAATCCTGATCGAAATTAATAGCTATAAGTCGAATTCGAAGTTCAACCTTTTGATTTTTTAAAATAAAATAATTAAAATCAAGAACACAAACTAAAATTTATTGTTTATTGACAATTTTGTGGCTTTGAGTAATGATTTTTTTTTATAAATATTATCTATCAGTGACAAGTGGCATAGAAATAACTGACAAGTATCATTATCTATCTTATCAACAAGTGTGAAGTGTCCTCGTCGGTTCCCGAGCCGTTACCATCTCCACTTGCCATTTTATTGACCTCAATGAAACTAATTATTTCAAAGGTGATGCCTGTTAATAAACATTTTAAATATATTATTTACAGAATTTTAAATTTCTTAAGCGATGCTTTTATAGTATTTATTAATATTTTCCTTATTTCTAGATAACGTGTTTTTGTTAAGGAATTAAAGTTAAAAGTTTTTCTGCTTCTACTCTTATTCATTTATCTAGAAAAAAAATAATCTTATTATATATACAAATTTGCGGTGATAAATTGATGTTATTTTGTATTAATAATATATTGCGCATATACAAAATTTAAGCATGATAAATAAAATATTTGCGAAGTGATTAAGTTTATTGGTTTGTGTACTTTTTTCTTTTGTTAGACAAATAAACCAAAATAAAGTAATATTAAACATTGCTATCATTCTACTCTCAACAATAATTTTTGAAATATTGTAATATGATTAAAATTAAAAACTTTATGCTTATTAATTAATTATCGATATTCTAAAGACACTAAGTCAATAATGCATATTCTAAAGAAAAATATTTTTTAATAAATTTTTAGTTAATACTCTAAAAGTAATGTTTAACATTTGGCTTAAAATAATTTCTGAACAACGGATTGGTGGCAATAATATGCATTTATTTTATTTTGTCGTGCAGCTGGCTATGTTATATAGTGCGAAAGGCAACCACTCAGGTTATCAAGTCAGATGCCTCTTTAATAATGAATGGAGACATCTACACTAGTCTTGGGAATAGGACTCGTCTTACAAGCTACAACCACGGAATTGTAGCAAAATAAATAAATATTTATTCAATATATAATTTAAAATATAATAAATATGTATTGATGATCATTTAAAAATAAATAAATAATTAAGGAAAGAGAGAAGTAAAAAAGGTTTAGTACAAATTTTCTTAAATTTAAAAAATAAAATGATTTATAATTTTTTATTTAAATTTTTTAAATATAAATAAATATCACATCAGTTTTTCTCTTCCCTTCGTTTTTTCTTAAAATTTAATTTTCAAGCATAGTTAAATTTACAATTTTATCCTCTTACTCATGTAAATTTTCATATTTATAACAAAAAGAAAATCAGTCAAAATGATGTAATATTAAAAGAAATTAAATAATTTATTAGAATGTTGGAATAAATATTTTCAAGGTGAAATTATATTTTACTTTTAATTAATGTTTTTTTATTGTTAACTTGAGAGTTAGTTTTTAAAGAAAAAAATTTAAAAATTTAAGGCATATTATAAGATACATGTTAATTTTAAAAAAATTATCCTCAATCTAAGTCTATCATTTAATAGTTAATAAAGTCATAAATTATAACATATTAAATAAATCAAATATAAAATTTTTTAGATTCATATTAGTAAGAGAGGTTCTTTTTTTATTTAAAATTAATATTTTTAAAATAAAATTTTAAATTAATATATTGACAGAATTTAATATACTAATCATATATTTATTATCATAAATAATATATAAATTTTAATTAAAAATTAAAAAATGTCTTTCTTCTCCTCTCCTTTAAAATCTTCTCCTAAATATATCTTTAATTTGTTAACTTTTAAAATTTTTTAATTTAGTTATCTAGATTTGAAAAACGTTTCAATAAGTCTTATTTTTTATTAATTAATAACTATAATTTTATTTATTATTATTATTATTATTGTAACTTCATCCTCTCACATGACTTATTTTTCTTCTACACATCTTGCTCGTATCTTTTCTCTTCTTCGTCCTTTTCGTCAGAGAACAAACCCTCACCCATATTATCATATTGCATCTCGCTGAGGGTGAGAGACATTAAAAGACTGTAAACTCTCTATGATTACTCCATTTCATTCTTCAAGTCTTAAACTGAGTATCAAAATCTCTACCAAATAAAACCAATCTTATGTTGAAATTTATGGAGACACAGTCGAGGAGTAAAAAGTAGAAACAAATAAATAAAAGAAAAGCAAAAGAGAGGACAAAGGGAAGGAGAAGTAGAAAGACGAGGAACTTAAAAAAAAAATAACGGAATTAACATTTATAATAAAAAAGACATATTTTAAATGTTTTAAAAAAAAAATCAAATTAAAAATTTTAAAATATGTTTAAGAATACATGATAAAAAATTATTAAAATTATAATATTTTATAATATCAATAAAAATTTATTATATATAAATGCTTATAAAACACCTTTTAAAAAAGATGCTCGATAATAATTGTAAAGCATTGACAAAAGAAACATTATTTTCGTGGATATATATTTTACATGTTTAATTTATTTAAAAAGAGAATTAATTAATACCTGAATACTTTATTAAAAATATAATAAATTAATTATATTTGCTTTTATTGTTGTTTTGTAAATTGAATGAATAATTTTTAATCTTAGTAAAAAAGGAGTACGTTTTGGGTACGAAAGATGTAAACATTTAATTGGTGATGCTCGAGTGTACAAAAATGAGATGAAAAAATAGAAACTAGAGAGGAATTTGTTCTCTTGAGTTCACACAAAGGACATTGACGATATATTGATGCATTAAATGTAGCAATATAGTGGTCAAATTCGCTTCATCTGCTTCTGCCACAGATCTGCATAAGTCGAACTATGCACGTGACTTGTCAGCCTTGCCCAATAAATTGTCAATCAAAAGATTGGATCACATTAATTATAAAATTGTCAACGTGCTTGTTGCTGCTATATTCCACTCTATATTTTTTATTTCTTTTATTCGCTATTTTAGTTTATGTTTGCTTTATATTTATAAATTTTTCAAACTCTTCTTCTGTTTTAATATTTTAAAAATTTAAAAATATTTATATTTTAAGATAAATTTATAACTCTTACTATTTATTATATAATTTAACATTTTAAGATAATTTTTTTCAAATATCAAAAGTATGATTAATCATGAGATAAAAATAAATATAAAAATAGTATGTATGAAAATATAAAGATTACATCTCTTAATTGTTTAAGGAACAGAAAAATTGCGAATGCACCATGTGAGAATTGTTTAAGGAAGTTTTCTTGAATTCACTTCTTTATAAATGTTTGTTGATTAATTGTAGTGTTCAAATTGATAATATAACTTGTTGTTTCTGTCATGATTTAGAGAAATTTTTAATTTATTTATGTATTCAGTTTCATCTCAAATCTGATACTTTATTGCCCGTTAGCTTAGATTCTCACTGATTTTATCTTTAAATTTATTGACTCACTTACTTTCTTAGGTTGATGTTGGTGTTGCCTATAGTAAAAAAGAAGAGACATGCTTATTAATTATTTGAGTAAGTACAATGTGATTTTTGTGGTTACATAGAAATAGAATTGCTTTTTCTAATGGTATTTTAGATTCTGAAGTCCTGAAAAATGACTATTACTTGTTAGTAAGGAAAAAATATTTTATTAGCTGATTGATATTTGAACCCACAAAATTGTATCTGTTTTAACTTTGTATAAATATATTTTTATTTTTTATTTTTCTGAATAAATAATATTTTTCTGTTTATATTAGTTTTGAGTTCTCTTGAACTCTTTCTAATAATATTTGTTTTCTCAAAAAAAAAAAAAAAAAAAAAAAAAACGGAAGAAGTTGTGAGAATTTACTAGATACATGATTTGAATCCATTATACACATGTTCTGGCAGCTCTTACCGGTTACCACCGAGCTCTTTCTACAGGAATCTCTTTTTTTTTTTTTTCCTTAAAATTCTGACTAAATGACACCCATTTTCCAAATAGGCCGGCATGTCTTTCTTGGTAGAGAAAATAGGCCAATATATAAAGGACATGAACCCAACCTTAAAATATTGTTGGACCAAAACGACAATAGAAAAAGTACTAGTGGGCTAAAATCAGTGGTCCTATATCTAACTCCCTCACATATATATATAGGACCAGTTTGCTAACATTATTTTGAACTTTATGACAAAAAAAAACGAAAATAATGTAATATGCTCAAATTCGTGCAATAGATTTTAACCATCCTCTTTGGTATATAACTTGGTAAGGTGAAAAAATCTGATGGATGTTTGATAACGCTATGTAACATGAATTTGTGTCCCTAAGCATAAAAAACACGAATAAACCAAGCATATCCTTTTCTTAATGTTTGAGCATTCTGGCACCGAAAGTGGGGTGAAAACACCTTTAGTCATGTCCTTATTAGACAGTGAAATAAAAGCGAGTTTAACAAAACGTGGGTTCCTCTGTTTTGGACTGCCCCTAGCTTCTCGTTCTTGTGCCGACGACTGAGGGGCCTTTTTTGACACATTTATGACTTCCAAAATAGTTGAACTATGAGTTTGCCAACCGTTTTGAGAGAACCCACTGATTCAGAATGAACAACCTTACGCCCAGTAGAGGAAGAATCCATCCCAACAAATGTTTTCCATTTTACTGTAACAAGTTCAATTTGGACCAAAAAAATAAAAGGTAATAAATTCAATGCATCATATATTGTATAAATTTATCCTAAAAGAAAAAATATTTGTATTCATTCAGCCTTGTGTTATATTACACTATAAAAAACAATGGGCACATCCTACCCTTATTGGAAGACGTGAAATACAAACCTATATTTAAATTAGTTTTTACCTTTTTATTTTTATAGTTTCATTATACTCTCCAATTGGGTGTCAAACATTATTTTCCTATATAAACGTGGCTGATCTTTATAACTATTTCTTGATTCTTTCTATGTTGTGGTTAATTGTGATTATTATAACGTTGGGAGAGCTTGTATAAGATATTTCGATAATTTGAGGAGTTAGTTATTGTGGTGGTCTATAGGTCTCGTTCTTCTTTTTTAAAGGACTAAAATTCAAGCCGTATAATTCATATTTATCTGGAAAATTTTTTGATTAATAAATAACATGTCAACGAGGTTATTCTAATAAAAAATAATATAGAGTAATACATATTGACAAATAAATTAATATTTACATATATAATTGCACATCGATTTTGATTTTCAAATTCATTATTATAATATATCTATTAGACCATTACTTATTTATTGTTTTCATATACAAACGTTTAAAAAATACATCTTTAAATTAGAACAACTTTTGATGTCCTATTTTTATGCTTTTCGTATATTTACACATGCTTTATTTTATATACCTAAATTCCAACGTTAAAGTAATATGAACCCGTGAGTGTTCTGGAACAATATTTTCGTATTGGAAAGTGTGGCAGAAGAAACGAACCCATTATGCAACTTCTAAAAGCCACTAGCCAACAAACCCAACATAGCGAGGCAATAGAAATCGTGTCGGCAAACATTCGAATTCAAAATCCACGACTAATTAAAAAGCAAACAACGGTCACAAAAGGCAAAACATGCAATATTTCTTTGACACGAGAACAACGGTTTCTTCAAGTCATAACTCAACCAAACCAACTGCTACCTATTCCTATATAAACCAACCTTTCATCCCAACTCATTCATCAAACTATCTTTCTATTACTTCAACGGTTGTCTCCTAAGTCATTGATCAACATGAGTGTAGAAATATTAGATGGTGCCACCATTGTGGGTTTCGTGGAAGACGAGGAAGCCTTCAACGTATCAGTGAGTGACCTCTTTGCCCAACTTGACACCGACAAGGATGGTCTTCTTTCCTATGCAGAGATGTTGAAGGAGTTGAGGAGGCTAAGAGTGTTTGAGACCCACTTTGGGGTGGATGTGAAGCGTGACCCAGATGAGCTTGCACATGTTTACGAGTCATTGTTCATTCAATTCGACCATGACTTGAATGGGAGAGTTGATCTCCAAGAATTCAAGGATGAAACCAAACAGATGATGCTTGCTATGGCCAATGGACTTGGCTCTCTCCCTGTTCAAATGGCTCTTGAAGAAAATAGCCTCCTTATGAAGGCTGTTCAACGAGAGTGCTATCTTAATGTTGCTGCTTAAAGCATATTGGTTAAGGGCAAATTTTGAATCCACGCCTATTAACTATATAAATTCGGCTTAGTTATTTATGTTTTCTGTCACCACTAGGTCGTTTGTTCGTGTATTTTGATTCCTTTTATGTTTCTTTTCAGTTGTGCTTGTGGATTGCATAACTGTTCATTGATGAGAAATTAAAATTCCCTTCGAAATTCATTGGTTGTTTTTGGTGTTCTGTCGTAGATATTTCAAGTCATCAGACAGATAAAGGAAGTCTCGTCTATATTTGCCTTTCGGATTAAGAAAAGCACATTAATCGAACACGGAGTTTTAGATATAGAAACAATAATTTGTAATGGCAGAAAATGATCGAATTCGTGCGAATTTTATACACCAGAAAAGCAAACATAAAAAACGTAAAGCAAAGAAAATCTTCTTTGCATTTCTACACTCATTTTATACTTGTATATCTTTCTTTCATTACTCAGCAGATAAATCATTTCACATAATTTCATTTTCATTTATACACGCTACATTCTTCACTCGGGGGCAAATGGAGTTAATTTGTACTCTTATAAAGTAAAGGGGTAAATTCGAAAAAACAAAATGTAGTTATAATTATATTGATTTGAAAAATTAAGAGTTATAATTATGTTTATGCATACATGCATAACAAACTGCAAAGCATTTAAAATAGCAACTATTTAATTTTTTAGTTAACGATTATAATTATACTTTGTTTTATACGGGTAAAATGTAGGACAAATATATATGAGTCAACATTTCACTATTTTCTCTAAGATCAAACATAATGTAAAATAGGGGTAATAAAAAAATCAGTATTTAGTTGTATTTTGTTAAAAAATTAGATGCTTGAATTATATGCAGTAAATATTTAACCGTGAATATAATCCACTAATAATTAATAAGGTGAATTATAAATACACGTTATTAGAACAACATCATATATTAAAAGGAGAGACAGTATATACTTTTGGAAAACATATTCTTTTGCTGACTTCTGCTTTAAGTTTTCTTTTAAGCGTCTAATAGTTTCTAATAATGTGCACATAGGATTCTCTCTTTCTTTCTCAAGATTGATGAAAAAATGGTTTTTTTAAATAGTTTTTATCTTAATTTAATTTATATAAAATCTTTTAAAATTGTCAAATTAGATGTATTTACTGTTAAAAAGAGTAAGTATTGGCGGAATTAGTATAAACTAATTTGCTCGTTATAATAAGACAGGGTTTAAATTATTCGGACTATTAAGCAAGTGTCAACGCGATGGAAACAAAGTTGTTAAAAATCGTTGAGGATATAAAAGGGCCTTTTTTTAATGAAAAAAATTAATAAAATAAGATGTTTTGGATAAAATTATAAAAATATGGAAAATTTTTAAAAAACCCTAATTACAGCTTTTAGTATTTAAAAATTATTATTTTCTAAAAATTTTCATTGACATTTTTTATTTTTTTAAAAATTTTCATTAACAAAATTTATTTTTTATAAATTATTATTAATTTTTTATACTTTATAAATTTTTGATGTTCCATCTCTGTACTTACACTAATTAGTAATTTTTTGAATTTTAAATTTTCATAAATTTTCTAAAAATTATATTTTAATATATATTATTTTAAAATGCTATGTATAAAAAAATAATCCTATAAAAGGAATGGCGTGTTATTTTGATTTGAGGGAATAAGTAGTAGGGAGACAAAATCTTTTTGAAGAGATTGTTGAACCTATTAAGGTTTAGACAAATGTTCTTTCTTGTAGTTTAGTAATATAGCACAGAAACATGATATATAAAAACGATTTTTTATTGCGATAAAAATTTATATTAAAATTAGAAAATTTAATACAATTTAATGAATTGATATTATTAAATATTATAATTTTTAATAAAAATATTATTCATACATTACAGGTTAAAAAATTTATATTAAAAAATAAATTTTAAATTAATTTTATGGATTAATATGAGTAGTGGATAGTTTTTAAAAGTGAAGCTTTTTGGTATATTAAAATTTTCACTGTTAAGTTGTTATATGTTTATAAACACATTGTACAAAAAATTCAATTTGTAAAGTTTAAAGTTCAAAGAAATTATATACTCTTTTGTCAAGAAAAAAAATTGAAGACAGTTTCAAAAACTCGTATATTTAATTTGATTCTTAATACCTCATTGTTATATAGCCATTTTTTTTAAAAGAATTCAGTACATTCCATTTAACTACTAGAAATTTGTCGTCTTTGCACACTTTTAGGAAAATTGAATGAAATTAAAAATAGGACTTGGAAGAAGGAAGCATGCACGAGGCCAAGTCTTTTAAAGAGACTCCGCGTTTCGTCGGTTACTTTTCCTCTGGTCTTTCGTTGCCTTTAAATTTTCCTTTTTCTATTTCCAACCAAATACAATATTTTTACTGTAAACGACACCTAATTTTCCATCACAAGTGTAAAATGGTAGAAAGTTCAATCTCGAAATATACAAATCTCAACTAGTTTCCATGTCGTGTTTAGTGGGTGTTTACTTTGAGTCAACAAAGTAATATACAAAAGACTTTTTTTAACATATGCACTTCAAATTAATTTCAAATGATTAAATTAAAATGTTTTTTTTTGGTAAAAAATATTATTATATTTTTATTTTATCAAATTTTGATATGATAAATATTATGTTTTTCTACAAAATATATTTTATTTATAATTATTTAAAACTAATATTAAAAATTCATGTTAACAAAAAACAAAAAAAAATTGTTTTATGTTAGTTTAACAAGGTCCAAAACTTGAGGTTAATCCTCTTGAAATTAACAACTGTCCATTGTGCTAAATGAGTCCTATACGAAATCTAAAACTGCATTCTGAGGCCTATTTAAGTTTTGCCGAATCAAATATATTAAAAATATACTATTTTTAATAATTTCTTTTATGATTTTATTATTAAATACAATTTATAACTTTTTTGAAGAAAATAATAAATTTTATATAAAACTTACTTAAAATTGTTGGTTTTAAATGCTCTGTTTAGAGAGTTTCATTTTGCACTTAAGAATTCTAATATCTAATGGTAAAAAAATATGTTAAAAAACATATAATCATAATATCTTTAAGCAAAAAGTCACTTCTATATACGGATATATAAGCAGTGTGATTAGTTGCAACCCGACCACAAAGCATCGAATCATACAACAAAATATACACTGGCTAATAAAGCTTCTTCCCGAACACATCGCTAAAGCTCTCTCTTTGTTTCAAATTATCAAACATGAAGGTGAGATCACTATTCACTAATGGTTTATAGTTAAATTACATGGTCTTATTCAATTTGGGTCGACAACAAGCTCTTTCCACTGCTTCCGCGCGCAGATAATAGTTATCCAGGTGCACATGGAGAATGACAAATGCAGAAGCAAGGCACTGAAAATTGCAGCAGCCTCTCAAGGTGCATGTCACGTTTCATCACTTGCATGCATTGTCCATTCATTAGTAACTTCAAATACCAAATTTAAATCTAAATAGCCGATGTTCATCATAACATAAAGATTAAAGTGAAACTAATTAACCCATTGCATATATAATTATATATCCTCATTGAATTATGTTTGTCTAGTGATCTATGCTCATGATTGATTTAATTATATGATGCTTAATTCTTTTTTATGGCCAAATCACACATACGTGCAGGTGTGCGTTCAGTGTCATTAGAAGGAGAAAGCAGGGATCAAGTGGTGGTGACTGGAGATGGAATCGATTCTGTTAGGTTGACTAATAAAATGAGAAAGAAGTTCAACTATGCTACCCTTATAAGCGTCATAGATGAAAACGCTTATAGTGACGAGGGTGGCCATTATAGAGAGGAACAAGGAGATCCTATGGAAAATTCAGCAGTAACTTATACTTATGCGAATAATTTTCCCCCATCTTGTCCACCATATTACGTAATTTATGATCCCTACCCCAATAGTTGCTCCATCCTCTGAGTTGCTTCTCGGCCGTCAAAGCTTTACTCTTTGGAATTTGGACGTCTACCAATAATAATATTATAACATTTGGATACTCTCTCTCTCTCTCTGTGTGAATGAGAAGTAAGGTGGCGATGTCTATGTGTATTCTTTACTACGGTTCTATTATTCACTTATAAAATACTAATATATAACTATATAATATTATATATAATTATTTCTATTTACACTTTTTATATACATTTATGTTAAAATTATCCTTAAAAATATAATTTTTCTTGTCTCATATTAAAAAAAAATTTCCTTTTGGTTAAGCTGATAAGAGTTACTCAAAACAAAATTTCATGCACCTATCCCTGCTACAAAGATCAACAACAATTTTAAGATTAAAATTTTATTAAAATATGGAAATAATATATATATATATATATATATATATTTATGTTGTACAAATATATTTAAAATTATTAACTGAAATTCATTAAGATGAGTAAAATCATGAGTTAAACTCAATAAACAGATTAGAACTCCCGCGATTTATAAAACAGTAAATGTTAACAAAGAGTGATTGTTGTGTTAAAAATAATGCATTAGACTACACTAATTTTTTTTTTAATTTATTATCGTTTATGAACTATTTAGTGAACATGTAAAACAGCGAAAGTCAAGGCCAAAAGATCAGATCAGGGATTGTGGAGGGCTAAAATTACTGTGATCTCTGGGGATGTCACTAACATGAATCATAGGGCTACTTGAAGCCAATTAAGAGGTGGATGAAAGTGTTATTCCTCGGTTCCACCGTACCCATAGACATTATAGCGTTTTGTTTGAATTAATTAATTAGTGAAATGTAGAGGAAAAAATATATATAAAAAAGAATTTGAGAAAAAAAATATATGTTATTTAGATGAGTAGAAATAAGAGAGATAAAAGTAAAAAAATATCTATTTATTTAAATAAGTAAAAATGAAAATGAAAGATGGAGAAAAATAAGTTAATGGTTTGAGTATTTTTTTATAATAGAAAAAAAAAATATTTTTCATAATGAAA